GGGGGGGGGAACCAAGGGCAACACACGTAACCTAAACATCTGCACACCCATAATTTTGCTGAAAAAAAAAAAAGAGGTATAGTTTAGTTCTTACAAGAAAGAGATTATCTGTTCCTTTCAAATTATAGTCAATCACTGGGAACATGACAAATGACAATTCATGATAGTGGAATAATTTGAAAAAAGAGTAGGAATAGGAGGAAACCTATTCATATTTCAAATAAATTATCTAAAATATTAGAAAATTAAATCTGCATATGGTATTTTCCACATCAGGGAAAACACTTGATCAGAGGTTTAGGCAACTACTGTAAATCCAGCAATCTTTTTTGGGTTTCAGTTTTGTTGGAAGAGTATGTCCTTGGCACTAAAAAGGGCCTGGTGGTTGAGTAGTGATGCAGAGGCTATTAGCTGGCATCACACCTGGTGAGGCTCAGCTATAATCTGTGTAAATCCCTTCCTGTCACCAGCCCACAGTCAATGCAGCTTCTCCTTTTTCACATAACCGTCAAGTGACTATATGTTTTTTCCTTTTATCTTTCAAGACTAATTTATATTCTCTCTCTTCCTCCCTCTCTGTCTCTCTCTTTCCATTTTTACCTGATTTCTGTGAACATGCTCTCCCCTGTGGTTAGGGTGTTCCACAGTACAGTCCTAGTCTATGGTTACTGTCCCATTTTGGACAATAAATCACTTAGCTAATCTACCTGAAAATGAACCAAATACATTATTTCATAAAAAGAAGATAAACAGTGACCCTAGGTGCCTGTGTAGCTAGTTGGGATTGTTCCAGAAAGAATAGTAGATTTAAATCTAATAAGGCATCTGTTTCCCCAGACCTTTTGTTAGAAGGGTCTATAGTGTCTGTAGAGTCTTCCTGTAGTATCTTTCTGAAAGATAAGTTTCTTTTGGTGTATTTTAACCTAATAAACTCTTGTTTATAATTACTTATGGTTTCCTTTAATCTTTTAAATTACTTTTTTTCAGGTAAGGTAATTATTCTTAAGGTGTAAATTGTAGAGATTCAGGGATATGAAAACTTACTCTCTAGAAAGCATTATCATGTAGAGTCTGAGCTAAGAAATTGTTATATGCTCTTCTAATGATGAT